TTAAGAAAGGACTTATATCGCTAAAGTTTCTTCGGAAAGAATTTTTACGGAAAATTAACTTACGACCGGAGGCGTAACAATATTGAAAAATGAAGAAAGCTAGAAGTATTATTATTATTTCAATAAAATAACATTTTTTAACCTAAGACGGGTCATACTTTGCCGATTTTGACGTTAAATACCATATCGATTTATAATATAAAAACAAATAGGATAACAATGTCGGATTTTGGTACCCTCAAGAAATTTTAATTAAAGAACTTTGTTGATTAATATCATTATTTTAAAATGCTCATTTAAGTAAGTATTTCTGTTTTGACACTTATAGATGGAGCTACCTTATCTATCACCATCTGAGTAACATTAGCCCTAGTATTAGTATTTGTTAAAATTTCAAAAACGATACTGAATTTAGGAATTACTTCAATTAGCAAAGTAATATTAGGTTAAGTATATGCTTGCCCACCGTATTAAACAGTTCTTAAGTGGATAATCTTTAATTTTCTTTGTAAGTTTTTTATTGCAATTTCGGATTTTTTATTTCTAACTTTCACAGTTTGAGATTAGGACCAGTAATGATTTTGTTTGAAGAGGATTATCACGTTTCTGGTCTAAATAAATTATTTTGTTTTATTATTACATAATGTTTCTATTATTACTATTACCATGTTTCAAAAATTCCCAATCTCCGAGCCTTTGTAACTTAGTTGTAAACCACAACAAATACAACGTGTGTGTGTGCGTTAACTGCCGGTGAGATAATTTATTGGACTTTAGATTTATTGCATCATATTGAGTAATTTTATGTTTTTGTTTGTTTCACCAATCATTGTAAAGGATTGACCAAAACGATTGGTTGAAAAGACTGACTTTTTATGTACAAAACTGAAAACAGGGAGACCTCAGCAATAATTAATAGGATTAGCCTAATTGCAGTATTGGTGGCGTTTTTGTTTACATTTTTGTATGCAACTTATGTTTTTAGGGACAGTGTAGCCAACTATGTCATAGACCCACAAGCAGTGTCATACATAAAGTGATATAGAAAATTTGTGTAAAAAAAGGGTTAAACTTAAGAGAGTGATGACCTAGTTGACCATCCTGCCAGATGTCCAATGAATGACACAGATTTCTCTTTTCCATTCTCTTTTGACTAAAATTCTTATTCTACCCCTTATGTGTTTATTAAATTATCTTTGTGATGTCAATTTCACTTGAACTGCTTCTGCACCTTTTTATCAGTTCTATTGTCATGCCTCTATTAAGGTTTATGAAAACAAATTTTCCAGCCATAGCTAATGTTTTTTTTCCCAAGCTAATCTTGGTTCTGAAGATTCTGATATTAACTCATGTAATAGCAGTAACCTTGGTTTCAGTTTCAAAAGTTCTTCTTAATTCCATCTATTAGTTTTCCTAAATGTCATTTATTATTGTTCATTGAAGATCGGAGCCAGTATGCCAATTTGTTCCTATTTTTAAAATGTTCCCTTTTGTACTTTATATTGAATATCACTCCTTAGAAAGTGGAATAGTTTTCAGGATAAAGGTTTGAATCAAACATTTATTGTAGATTGGAATTTGCTCAATAATGTGATTGAAGATAAGGATCTTGGCATAGTGTGAGATAAGTCACTCAAGCCATCTGTTGCTAGTAGTAAAAGCTACTAGAATTTTAGGGTGTGTTTGTAGACATGTTGGTAACAAGTTAAATAGGTAATGTCACTATACAAGCCACTTGTTAGGCTTCACTTGGACTCCAAGGTAAAGTAATGTGTACAGTTTTTATCTTCTTGTCTAAGAAAGGATATGGACTTATTGGAGAAGATTCAGAGGGTGGTGACTAGGTTACATAAGCATTTCACAAACATTTTTTATCTTGTGCAAAAATTTTAACCACCCATATAACAATTACATACATGAAAATGGATAAAAGTCCTTTTTATTTTCAGTTGTTTTAAAAATAGTACTTTGTGGTATTAACATATGTCAGAGAGAAAGGCTACTAATTGATTTTTGTGTGACCCATTAAAAAACAAAAACTATAGGAATTCAAAATCTTTCAAATTCACTAAAATCTTAAGAGATTTTATATAATGTGCATGTCAGGCTTGTATTTTTTCTTTTAATATATTTCTTTCTCATTAGAAAAGAAGATCAAGATGTCTTTTATAGAAGGTATTGGAGATGAAGTAATATTATTTGTTGGTATTGTCGTAATTGCACTTGCTTTGCTTGTTGGATGGATAGCTGTCTTTGGACTCCATGTAGAAGGCATTTACCAGACTTCTCAGCGTACACCTGTACAAGAGGCAAGTTTGCTTTATAACAGTGCAACTGTATGTTTATTGTTATGATGAAAGTTTGTATAAACTCGTATTATTATCTTCACAAGCCAGGAAAGATCATTCTAAATTTACCTGTACATTTATCCTTTTTTTCAAAATTTAAACTGACTAGAGAAAGTTTATCTCTGCTGTGAATCTTCAGTGATTTCCATTGTTATATATTTATAAGAATTATAATTATTTTTATTGCTTGGATGTGATGTTAGAGAAAAAGTTGTTTTTCAAATCTTTAATTTTTTTTGATTGACTAGTTCTTACTGGTTTATATCTAAAAAAAAAGGCTAATTAAGACACGGTACATATAGCTTTATCAACAAATGCTCCTAGGATTATAACTGTGTGAAATTAATTTGAAAATTTGTTATTGTTCTAATGATTGTAGTTCATGAAAAGTCTTGAATTGAAATGATTAGAGTTGTTAATGTAACCACATGATTAAACACGATACACTGTTAACTATCAGTGCTGTGGGCACAGATATGGGGCATATTATTAACCTTTGTTTTACTTTAAAACAACCTGACACTAGTAAAGTTGTTTATCTATAAACAAGGCAATGTGTGTTAATGTTCCCTTTAGCTACTTGATTTAACACAAGACACTGTTAATGTAGTGAAATGTTTTATAACTGCACATGCTGTTAATGTAGCAACAGGATTTAATACTACAAATACCATTAATGTATCTACATGTTTTACACTGCAAACATAGCCACATGATTTTAACACTACAGGCTGCTATTTTACTGTTGTTTTAACACTACACTCACAATTAATGCAATCACACATTTAACAACCACACACATGCATTGTTAATTTAGCCTCATGACTTAACACCACACACTGTTAAAATAGTGACATGTTTTAATTACACATACTTCTAATCTTCTAATCTTTCATGAGCAGGATTTGAACTCTTGCTCACATTACAGGCAAAGTGCTTTACCAACTGTGCTGAAAAATGAAGTCACTGACAATCATTAGCAGTGCACTTTTTTTTAATAATTCACACTACCATATTCTTTGCCTGTTATAAGAAAGGCCTGTTTTCGAGCCTTATCTTATGGTCATGTGACAACTATTAGTTGGACACCAATGTTTCTTGTAATGATTTTAATATTTTTTTTTCATTATGACTGTCACTAAACATTGTCATATGGCATCTTCTCACCTTTATTCTTTGGATTTGACTTTTTTGAGGGGGGGCTTCTTTCATTCTTCTGCTCAGTTTCTCTTCAAAGCTATTGAATTAGGAATGTCTGCTTGTTCGAGTTTCTTTTATAAATGTTTTCATCACCTTTCTCTGATAGTCATCCAATTCCATCTTCACAAAGTTGCTAAATTGAATCATTTATTTTCACCAGTAACCACCTTTTACTTTCTAGCAGTATCAACAATGTAATTTCTTTAAGCTACTTCGTATTTTTTATTAGGTTTCATAAAAATATTACACAATTAGATTCTACAGTAAAAAATTAGTAGATTTTCATTACTGTTTGAATTATTTATTTATTTAGACGATTTTGTTCATTTGTTTCCCCACCCAAAGTTTGCTGCTCCTTCCCATTCACCACTTGATGATTTAGCTCATCTGTCATCAGTCTTTTCAGATTTTATCTCTCAGGTATGTGATGTTTTGTCTCTTACACCTGTTTCCTATGACCCTAGACCTTCCCTCTTACATGTAACTTCATGACCATATTTAATCTTTCCCAGATCCCTCGACATTAGGGTTCATGTGGACCAATTAGCCTCTCAACTTGGGGAGTGCATTAGTATGCCTCATCCTACATTCACTTTGGATCAGTCTGCCCTTGCTTATCATTGGTGTGGACTTTCCTTTTCTGGACCAACAGTTGTTGGGGTCAGTTCTGCCTGTTTGGCAGGCAATTCCAAATTTCCCTGTCCAACTTTTCCAAGTCCAATTTTCTCGCCTTTATTTCACCCTCATGACCCCTGAGCAGGTTTTCTGCTGAAATCCTCTTCATACTTACTTCTATGTTGGCTCGTCTTTGGCTCTTGTGCTTCAAATGTGGTTTGTTTGTTGTTGGGACCTCTTGGGCCTTGATGCAGTTTTGGTGCAGACCCATCTCCTGGCTCCTTACATGAGGGTCCTCTGCATGGTGCTGTTTTTGCAGCGTTATGTTTTTGACTCGATTCCTGAGTCTTTGGAGTTGTGTGTGGTTTTGGCCCAACAACATTCTACTGTTACTCACTTGGTAACTCGTTTGTTGCAATCGGGGCCAAGCGTAGCACCAATTTGTGTCCCCGACCTTCCCAACCTCTTCCTGTTCCACTCTCTCGCGGTGCGACGGTTTGACAATTTACTCAATGATGCACAATCCACCAACAGCAGTACCAGTGACTATGTGGTCTGTTCGAGCCCAGTGGGGGCTTGTCTGTTGAATTTCATTCATCTGTAAGAACCTTTTCTCACCAATGTCTTGATTCATAAGGTGCTCTTGGAGGGATTCATTATCCTCTTTCACTCCCTTCTTCCATTATCCAGTGTCTGTCAGAGGCAGTTCAGGACCTCATTGCACAACAGGCTATTAAACCAGCTCACCAGGTTCACAGGGGTTTTACTCCCATCTGTTTGTGGTTCCAAAGAAGCCTGGGGACTGGCATCCTGTCATTGATTTATCCTGTCTCAATCAGTATGTTCACACTTCTCATTTTACCATAAAGACATGCCTTTCTCTTCGGTGGGCATTTTCTCCAAGTCTTTGGATGACCAAGGTAGACATTTCCAGTGCTTACTTACACATTCCTGTGGTGGAGAATACCTGTCCATATCTTTGATTTGTGCACTGGGGGTTTGTGTACCAGTTTTGTGCCTTACCTTTTGGCCTAGCCTCAGCACCATACAGGTTTTATCATGTGGTTTGCTCCTTTGCTCGACATATTCATGCACTTCCATGTTTATTTGGATGACTGGCTTCTTCTTGCTCCATTCTATGGAACTGGCCATTTGGAGAGCCTTGTCTTTCCCTCACTTACAGCTCGCAAGGTTCTATCGCCTTTCATAGATGTGGTCCTCCAAGATCCCTCTCATACCCCTGGGCAGGGCCCATATGCAGTTTCTTTAATGGGTCCTCACCCAGGATCCCTTGGATACTTGTATATCCCTTCCTTCATCTCTTGTAGACGATCTCCATTGGTGGTTGAACAGAGCCCACACATCAGTGGGGGTCTTGCTTCCTCCTCCATGGCCAGATTTACATCTGTTCACGAATGCATCTCTTCAGGGCTGGGGTGCCTGGGTGGATAACCAGGAAGTTTCGGGTTGTTGGCCTGTGGATGAGAGTTCTCTTCTCAAACTCTTGGCTGTTTGTTGGGCCTTGGATCAATTTCTTTCTATTACCAGCTGCTGGCTGGTTATGATCCATTCTACTGTGGTGGTTTATATCAATCATCAAGGTGGCACCAGGTACAGATCCCTATGTTTTCACACTATAGATCTTCTTTTTTGGGCCCACAAACATCACATTCATTTGATGGTGTGTCATGTACTGGGTGCTTTCAATCTTGTAGCTGCTCATCTTTCCTGAATAGATCTAGTACATCCCACTGAGTGGTCCCTGCATCCTGCCATTTTTTGGTGGCTCTTTCTGCATCTTGGTATGCCCCATATCGATGCCTTTTCCACTGCTGTGAATCACAAATTACCTCTGTTTTGGTCCTCCATCCTCAAGCCTTTATGTTTACCTTCCAATCTGTTTGCTTCATCGAATGGCATCCTTCATCCATGCCACTCTATGCATGGTCCTTCTGATTGCTCCATACTGGCCTGCTCAGCCTTGTTTTCCTCAGTTGCTCCAACTGCAGGTGGTCCCTCCCATTCTTCTTTACTTCTGTCCCGACCTGCTCTATCAACTCCAGTCACTGGTGCTCCATCCCATGCCTTCTGTCCTCCATCTTCATGCCTGGCTTTTGTTAGGTCCTTGGCAAGGAGTTCCAACTTCTCACTCCTGGGCATACAAAAACAGTGATGATAATATTTCACCTCAATAACTGCAAATACAGCTTAATAATGAAATACACTGACCAGAGAAACACCCTAAATATCTCAGAGTAGTACTGAACATACAGACAACACAGAGAAAATACTGCACCAGAACTAAAGAAGAGGAACTCGCTGATCAGGAAGCTAGCCGGATCATCAAGGGGAGCATCTCAAACTGTGTTACGACCATTCGCACTGGCCCTATGTTACAGCGTAGCTGAATATTATGCCCCAGTGAGGAAACGCAGTGCCCACACAAGAAAAGTCGATGCCCAGCTGAATGAAATGATGCAAATTATATCTGGTGCCATCAAATCTACACCATTGACTTGGCTGCCAACAATGAGGAGGCCACTCAAAAGCAGCACCAATGCATTAGAAACACAAATATTGACACACCCTTGAAGCAAATAATTGACAGAGCACCCACCACTTCAAGACTAAAATCAAGAAAACCTTTCTATAGATCAAAGAAAACTTCAACATTGAAGAAGCTTGGAGAGAGGTATGGAGGGAGTGCCCTCCCAGGGGTGGAGACCTGATGGGGGACCCCAATGAGCCACTACTCAGTTTCTATCACCTAACCAGAAAAGATTTGAACTATAATCAAAATAATATCTATGAAGTTTGGCAACTTAAGAGATTTAGGTTAGTCAAAAAATCCATATACAAGGCTAGCAATACAAATAATTGTTATATTGAAAAATATTTATGTAATAAATAAATGAAACTAAAAATAACATTAAAGGAAGAATGGATTTCTCTTAAAAGACACACAAAACAATTTTTTGCATCATGCACTGTTACTGATTCCTCAGTCCGTTAAAAAGCAGGACACCAGTTTATACATAGAACTTTATATAGTTCTCTCTCGCTAACAATGTCTAGTGATCAATGGAAGAAGAGTAAATGTCTTTAACAGTTTAACTTATAGATTTGAGGTAAACATCACCGTTAACCAGAAATGTGTTAAAACTCTGTAGAAATAATAATTATCACAATAACCTCACAGAATACAATGATCAGTTTAGACGTATCCAAGTGTTCACTTATAGATAAACTGAACACTTGAGGTAAACACCACCATTAACCAGAAATGTGTTAAAACTCTGTAGAAATAATAATTATCACAATAACCTCACAGAATACAATGATCAGTTTAGATGTATCCAAGTGTTCACTTATAGATAAGCTGAACACTTGAGGTAAACATCACCATTAACCAGAAATGTGTTAAAACTCTGAAGAAATAATAATAATTATCACAATAACCTCACAGAATACAACGATCAGTTTAGATGTATCCAAGTGTTCACTTATAGTTAAACTGAACACTTGAGGTAAACATCACCATTAACCAGAAATGTGTTAAAACTCTGTAGAAATAATAATTATCACAATAACCTCACAGAATACAATGATCAGTTTAGATGTATCCAACTGTTCACTTATAGATAAGCTGAACACTTGAGGTAAACATCACTGTTAGCCAGAAATGTGTTAAAACTCTGTAGAAATAATAATTATCATGATAACCTCACAGAATACAATGATCAGTTTAGATGTATCCAACTGTTCACTAATACACCAACCATTAATACACTGAAAAACTCCATCTCTATTTGAAAATCACAAAGAACATGTTAAACTGGCAATATCAATGATAACAAGACTCCTAATCTTCTTGTATCAGGACATGAAAACAATAGTACTAACAGCAGTAAAGACACCTATCTCGCCATTTAATACTCAATAATGTCTACTTCAGGGATATTATTCTTCTTAGGTATCATGTAGGTCATTGCAGAGTTTATTTTTCCTTCTTACTAATATGCTATCTAAATATAAAACATTTTGATCCAGTCAAAATTAATGTTTTATTCATATAGGCTGGAACTCTTTTATTGTAATTTACACAAGTTGGGATCAACTTTTAATTCCCTTTGTATATTATGTTAATTGAACTCTTAAGCAAAACATTACTGACTTACACAGGCAAATTTATTGTAATCCTAACTATTGACACTTGAAACAATTAACATTTTCTCTCTCTCATACCTTATCAGTAATTTAATGTTAGTTTTTACAGAAAGCTGGCCTATCCTCTATAAGTGATCACAAAAACTGGAGAAACTAATTAACATATTAGGTATACAAGTTGAAATATCATTGTATAGTAGTAGATTATTTAATTTTATAATTTTGAAGTTTGCATATCTGATGGAATTTAACGTAATATAGTGTAATGAAACGTGAAATCTGTTAGTCAATATGTTCTATAAATAAAAACTATTCCTGTATATTTCCTTTTAACTATTATAAATCAAAATTACAGAAAGAATTTTGATTAACCATTACATTTTGAACAATATAATAGAAAGAAACTTATTACATTCTTCTTTTTTTTTTACTCTCTCTTTTGTAGGAGGTAAGTTTAGGTCTTCAAGCACGAGAATCACCAACTACAGAAGTTGATGAATTGCAAGCACAAGAACGACCAACTACAGAAGTTGATGAATCGCAATTCAGTAATTTGTCTGTTACAAACTTAAATAGGGTTCAGGAGGAAAGCTCAAACAGTGTTGTTGTAGGAGAAATGGCACACCCACATAAAGATACTTCTATAAGAGAAACGGCACATATACAAGAAGATACTGCTATAAGTCAGACAATACATACACAGGAAGATGCCCCTGACAGACCAACAGCACATCCACCAGATAATTCAAGTGGCACGGAGACTATGGTAGGGCAAAGAGATGCTTCTGTTGTTCATGAAAGCAGAGATGGGAGTTTGGTAGGGCCAACAGATCAGCCAGAGACAGCACACAGAGAGTTTTCAAAATCTAATAGTGAAATACAGGAGGAAGACCAGAACGTTGTGAGGCAGCGTCGTCTCCAGTTTTTTGAAAGACTTGGAGATCCATATGAAACAGGTGCTTTTGAAGACAGAAGTTTGTATGATGGGGAGAGAAATCAAGAAATTGCAAACAGTTTGGGAAGTGAAGTTGGAGAACCAGTATCATCACAACCCACATTACCACAACAGCCAGTATCAAATGGAGATCTACCATCCTCCATGGTTACCAATTCCTCAGAAAATGATGACAGCGCAGAAATTCAGATCAGATTAAAATATCTCAATGATACTGAAAGATTGGTTCTTTGTAGGTTACAAGATAATGTTGGTGACTTTAAAAGGTAGTTTTCTGTCTAGAAAATGCACTTCATTTAATTACATAGGTGTTGTAGTCATGGGCACCCGCAGGAAGGGGCAAGAGGAGGCATTTGCCCCTTACATTTCCCAAAAAATTGCACGTATTATGATGTAAATTTAACATCATAGTTAAACTTATTATTTTTAGTAATTTTTATTAAAACTGTAAATTTGTGTTTGTGTTTAAGCATACATAACACATATTCTTTTAGTATGTTGACTTGCACTGTAAAAGCTGATCCCCTAAATAAATGTTTTGCCTCCCTGAAAATTTTTCTGTGGGTGCCCATGGTTGTAATATTTATATTTTGTATTTTAAAGTGTGAGTTGTAAAAATTGAACGAGTAAGGGTAAATTATTGTTTGTCAAATATGACATTTGTTCTTGAAGTAAAGATTAGGTAAGTTTGTTCTTATACTATCTTGTAAGAAATTGTTAGTAAAGTTTCTTGACAGTGTACTTCATAATCTGAAAATGTTTATTGAAAAATACAAAACAATATCTATCAGTGACGAATGGCTAATACTTCATTGTATATTCACCCTAAACTTTTTTGCATCACATCCTAAACTTGTATTTTCCAATGTTCATGAGATTTAAAAGATAATCATTTATCAATACTAGTATTTTTAGGTATTCAATTATTCAAAAGGATATTTACCAAACTATGTATAAGAAATGTGCTCTCTCAGTTGGAAAGGACATCTACCATATAAACAATTTTGTGCAAGATTTATGGTCACCTACTTGTTCAATTATGTAGAAGATGTATTTCTTACTTCAATGATATTTCAGAAACACTCTCCTTTACTCTAGATTTTCATGTTTCAAAGCTTTTATTATTTCCTAACACAGAGTGGGCCTGTTTCAGTTTTTGTGTATGTATATATAATAAAAGTTACAATCCCCAATGTTATACATTGACTTTTGCTCTCTTTTTTTTGGTCCATATATGGGCTTCTTCTGACTGGTTTTCCACATCTTTTTCCTAACTTTTTCTCAGGAATTAGAGACGGACTTTTGCAGGAAGATGTTCCATCATTACTTGTTTCAGGCTTTCCTTTTTATAACAATGATTAATCCCCACTGTTAGTATAAGATCTCCTATTTGGAAAGATGCTTCTCATTTATCATTTGCATGTTTTTAGCTGAACATGAAATGTCTTTCATTTGTACTTTATAAACAGTGTTTCATGCAGTACATTCTGTGTATGCTAAACTTTTTGCATGTATAGCAGAGCTGTGAAATTATTTTGGAAATATATATCATGCCCCTTAACTTGTGACATACTGTTATTTTCACTACTTTGAGTGAGAATGCAGTGATTGTATATCAGTTGTCATGGTTAGTAGCCTATACAATTACTTAAGTCTAAATTACTTTATACTAATTACTAATTGATTTGTATCCCGTGTTTTGGGTTTTGCCATCTTCATTGAAGGATAGTATGTAATGGTTAGAAAGGCTGGTGTGGTATTCACTCATCCAAGCTTTTGAATCAACTATGGCAGCACTTACCAGCAGCTCCCTTACTTTGTTAGTCTGTTCTGTCTATTTTGACTGAAGCTGATTTGAAGAAGATAATCACAATCTTTAACTGATGCTGAGTACATCACTAGAAACTGATTTGTATAACAGATTAATAAATCATGCAAGTTATAGTCCCACTGAGCCATGGAAAATATAGAAGGCTATTAAAGACATGTTTTCTCATTTTTATTTAACCACTGTAGTTTTTTCTAGTTATTTGTGTTCAGAAATTTTTAATACTTTGATATGTTGTTTAAGCAGATATCTGAATTTTCACCATTCTGAATCACTTATGAATAATTGATCTCCTTTACGGGTTTCTCTAATCACCTTCTTCTTTAACTATTCAGCTTTTTATTGTTTTTTTAAACACCTTCTTTAACTATTCAGCTTCCTTACTGGTTTCTCTAATCATCTTCTTCTTTAACTAGTCAGCTTTTTATTGTTTTTTTAAACACCTTCTTCACCTAGTTAGCTTCTTTATTGGTTTCTCTAATCATCTTTTTTAACTAGTTAGCTTCCTTATTGGTTTTTCTAATTAACTTTATCAACTAGTCAGCTTCCTTATTTGGTTTCTCTAAACACCTTCTTTAACTATTCAGCTTCCTTACTGGTTTCTCTAATCACCTTCTTCTTTAACTAGTTAGCTTCCTTATTTGGTTTCTCTAAACACCTTCTTTAACTATTCAGCTTCCTTACTGGTTTCTCTAATTAACTTCTTTAACTAGTCAGCTTCCTTATTTGGTTTCTCTAAACACCTTCTTTAACTATTCAGCTTCCTTACTGGTTTCTCTAATTAACTTTTTTAACTAGTCAGCTTCCTTATTGGTTTCTCTAATTAACTTCTTTAACTAGTTAGCTTCCTTATTGGTTTCTCTAATTAACTTCTTCAACTAGTCAGCTTCCTTATTTGGTGTCTCTAAACACCTTCTTTAACTATTCAGCTTCCTTACTAGTTTCTCTAATCACTTTCTTCTTTAACTAGTTAGCTTTTTATTGTTTTTTTGAACACCTTCTTTAACTAGTTAGCTTCCTTATTGGTTTCTCTAATTAACTTCTTTAACTAGTCAGCTTCCTTACTTGGTTTCTCTAAACACCTTCTTTAACTATTCAGCTTCCTTACTGGTTTCTCTAATTACCTTCTTTAACTAGTCAGCTTCCTTACTTGGTTTCTCTAAACACCTTCTTTAACTATTCAGCTTCCTTACCGGGTTTCTCTAATCACCTTCTTTTTTAACTAGTCAGCTTTTTATTGTTTTTTAAACACCTTCTTTAACTATTCAGCTTCCTTACTGGTTTCTCTAATCACCTTCTTCTTTAACTAGTCAGCTTTTTATTGTTTTTTTAAACATGTTCTTTAACTAGTCAGCTTCCTTAGTTGGTTTCTCTAATCAGCTTCCTTATTTGGTTTCTGTAATCACCTTCTTTAACTCGTGTAACAGGTGAGCTGGTGAAAGCCAGTTGTTCAGGTTCGACTTTTCATTAGTCACAAATGAATTTATTTAAAATTCCAGGAAGACAACATGATTTATGAATGCTTTGGTGGTCATATCTGCTTTCTGATCAGGCAAGCATATCGCTTTAGGATATCTGGTCAAGTGATCTGCAAGAACCAAAACATACTTTTTTTTACATGCGTAAGATGTAGGCAATGGACCTAAAATATCCGTAGCTACTAACAAAACATGGGTGGTTACATTTGGCATTCTCTATAAGGGAGCATTTCTAATGTGTGGGCTAGTTTTTTGCTTTTGACATACAATGACAATTTTTAATGCAAGAATTCAGAATAATTTGTAACAATTAGCCTTTACAGTAGGAAGTGGCAGAACAGAGTTAGCTAAATTGGTACAATCACTGTAGGTTGCAGCAGATAGAAATTTGAGTCCTTACTTCTTACCCACGAGTTAACTGGAAAAGTATTAGATGAAATTGGAAGGAGATTACCCCTATACTTAGTTTGCTATCACCACACATAATGATCGAACCTACATGTACTATACATGGCCTGATATGAAGACAACTGCAGTAAGAGACACGTTATGAGTAGAGAGATACCCTTAAAATCAACAGATTACATGTTTAAACTATACCGAGTAATATCCTTTAGCTTTAACTAATTCATTGGCTTTAGCCATAGAAAGTGATTTGCTTATTTGGTTTTGTTATGAATTTCATGCAAAACTATACGAGAGCCATTTGTGCTACAGTAGAATGATAAACACATGTACATAGAATTAATGGAGGAGGATATGTTAAAGTGTATAAAGAGACCTACCAGAGTGTGTGACCCTGTTTCTGTAATTTATTCAGTACCTGTTTTAATTTTTAAATATGCAATTTTTGTAGGAATAAAAAATAAAATAAAATAATTGTGTAAGAAAAGAGTGAGTATCCCAAAACCATTTTACTTTTGTAAAACAAGAATTCCAGGGACATGGTTATTTAACCCTTTCCAGATGGGTCATGGGTAAAAGGCCATGTCATTGCGTTTGTTGACTCACATTCAAAATTTTATTGAACTACTATTTCGTGAATTTAT